GGTCACTTAAAACTCATGCCAGGCACATCTGCCCAAGATCCAGAATGGGGAAGGGATTGCCACATGGCCATTTCCCTAGAGGGTGATTTCTCACTTTCTCTCTGGTGAGCACACATACCCTATAGCAAACATCTCTCTCTCTAAAAAAAATAATTTTTTAAAAAGTATTCTGAGGTTGCCTAAAAGGACAAAGAGTTAGCACTTTATCATACCCATTAAGGTTATATGAAGTATTACTCACTAGTTTGTTAATATTTAAATTCTTCCACCTGTGTTAGAATTTAATCTAAACCTTACTTTCATAAAATCCTGACTTATGGGATAACTACTATCTTTCATCCATTAATATTCAAATTGGCCTAAACTACTTATCAATGAATAAAGATAATGGTGGGGCTGGACCTGTACTAGCTGGATTCTAAGAACTGGATTCCAAATGGCGGAGTGTGGTTCAAACCCTGGCTTTGGCTGCTTGAAAAACTTGCCATATGTGGTGAACAAGGCTGGAACGACAGGCCATGGCATACAGCCTGTATGTGGCCACCGCCCTGGCAGTGAGGGCGGACACCATGGGGACGCTGTACACAGGACCAACTCTGCAGTCAATGTGTAAATTCACAGAGAAACATGAATGGAAAACAACAGAAAATGGTACTGGAAAAGTGGGAAACAGTTTTGCACAGGAAACTTTGGGAGATGTTGTTTATTGTAGTGTGACTGAAGTTAGGCAAAACTGAACAAACAAGATGAGTTCAATGCTTTGTAAACTGTGAAAGCTGCTAGTGAACTCCATTCTCTATCAGGAAAAGTAACTGAAATTAATGAAGCTCTTGAAGAAAATCCAAGACTTGTCAACAAATCTTGTTAGGAAGATGGCTGGCTGATCAAGATGACACTGAGTAACCCTTCAGAAACAGACGAACTAATGAGTGAAGAAGTTGTATGAAAAATAGCAGCCTATTGAAGAGTGAAAGTAGAACCCTTAAATAGTGTAAACAACTTAATCCAGGCATAGTTGTCTTAAATCAGTGGTTGATAAAAGACTTAAAGTTGCAACCTTTAGCAATACTAGTGGGAAAAAAAACTATTCTGAACACCACTGGTGAAAAGAAATACCCCTTAGCTTTCTCATGATCATATTTTTAATAAATACAAAATGCATCTTATTCACAATATTCTATGATTCTTAGGCTAGGCTCAAGTATTGAGAATTCATGAAATTATGTGTGATAAATATGTATTATAAAAATTATTTAATTAGTGATAACACTGTCATCCTAAGTCTTATATAACATATCTTGCTTATAACCATTCCCGGATTTGGGGCAGAATACTAAATTTTTCTCTCCATTGGAAATAATTGGGAATGGAGAAGTTTTTGTTATATAGTGAAGAACAGTACTATTTTAGTTTTGTGATATACTTCATTTGCTGGTGCTATTTTATACAGCTGAAGCAACCGCTTTGCGGCTAAGTAAGAAAATCTCTCCAAAAAAAAAGAAAGAAAGAAAAGAAAAACTTGCCAGATGTTTGTGGTTACATGTCCAAAATCCCAACAGAATGGAGAAATGGAGGGAAGAGGAACATGTGATCATGCCCCGTTGGGATCCCTTCTCCTTCTACTCTCTCCTCTGGTGAGCATGCACCCACTGGCAATCAAAATATAAGAAAATAAATAATAAATGAACATATAAATTTTTAAAAAAGAGATAATGCTGTCTTGTGTAGCTTATCTAAATGCAAGAAGTGGAAAGAAAAATACTACATAAAATTATTAAGAGGATTACTGAGGAAATAATAAACCAAAGCCTCAAAAAGTAGAGGCAAGGGGCAAACAGGTGGTATAGTGGTTAAGGTCCTAGACTCCCATGTAGCCAACCACACTGTGAGTCCTGGACCTGGCGGCTTGAAATGCACACCAGTGCCTGAGTGTGCACAAATTCCTGAGAGAAGAATGGAGAAGGTATTGCAGCATAGTCATCCCCACTGTGCCGGGGGAGGGCGGGGGGGGGGGATTTCTCACTTTCTGTCTCTGTCTCTCCAGCAAGCACACACATTCTATAGCAAAAATTTCTATTAAAAAAAAAAAAAAAAGTGAGGTCAAACAACAGCACCTTTAAGCAGAATCTTAATAATGATGAACAAGCCATTATTCCCCTGCAGTTGAGGACAGGTACAAGTGCAGAAAAATATGAAGATGGAGAGGTGGGCAAAGACTAAATTAATAAAAAGGTAACTTGAACACGAGCCCAAAAGAATATGACCTTTATCTAACTGCCTATTTTCAGTATCATTCATCAAAACTAAACACTGCTATCTTTTTAATTTAATGCTCCAAATCACTTAAACTCTGATCTAATAATTCTTTACACTTACCATTCTTCAAAGCTTGTTTTGAAGGCTAACTTCAAAAAGTCATTTTTCACTAGTGAAAATGTGGCTTTATAACCAATCCCAAATTACCAGCACCACTTCAACAAGTGTTGCCCTAGGGGCCAGCCAGATGCATAGTGGTTAAAGTGGCTGGATCCCACATGGCTGATTGCATGGTTTGAGTCTCTGACCGGGTGGCCTAAAAAACATGCTGGGCATATGTGCAGGCATACCCAAAATGCCAAGAGAAGAGATTATGGCTTAGTCATCCCCCTTGAGTGCACACAACCTATGGTAAATTATATTTAAAAAAAAAAAAAAAGTAGGGACCAGCAGAAGTGAAAAAGCACATCCGTAGGGCATGGTCCTGCAAAATCCTTTCTCTTCCATTTTCCCTCCTTTCAGGATTTTGGGTCACACACATACAGAGCATGTTTTTCAAACTGCCAGGTCCAGGACTCAACTATGTTATTGGCCATGTGGATCAAGCCACTTTAACCATCAGGCCACAGGCTAGGTTATCTTTTGTTTCTCCTATCCCCACTTAGTCAAGGTCTTAACTAGCAGAACCCCTCATCCAATTTCCAAATTCCGACTGTTTATTTTCTCTGAAATTCTATGCGAAATCTAGAACACTGCCCATGTTTGTGAGACAATCCCAATTCTTAAACTCTGTCCTCAAAAGAGTTGAAATTTCATCTCTTTTATTGAAATTATTTAATTAATTTCATTTGTTATTATTATTTATTTGATCAGAGACAGACAGTGAGAGAAAGGGAAAGCAAGAAAGCAAGAGGCCAGGTCCAAACTCGAACCGTGGTCAGCCATGTGGGAATCCAACACCTTTAACCAGCACACCACCTGGCAGCCTTGAAATTTCATCTTTTCTACAAAAATCTTCCCTTACGTAGGAATCAGAATGCAAATATTAAAATGTAAATTTATTCACAGAGATCACAATTTATAATATAGCTTCAAATGTCTGAATTATAAATTAAATATTCTCTCATTTCTTTGTTCTGAAACTTTTCATTAAATTGCTTAGTTCATCATGCCACGTTCCTTGGACTTTTTTTTGGGGGGGGGTCCTATAGGGCGCATGCACTCGCTGGAGAGAGACAGAAAAGAGAGAGAGACTGGGAAAGTGAGAAAGCATCCCCTCCCCAGGGGTTTGGACATGCCCCAACCCCTTTTCCTCCATTCTCCACTCAGGATTTTGAGTATGCATACCCTCATCTGGCATTTTTTTTTTTTTGAGAGGTTTTTGCTATGCTCACCAGAAAGACAGAGAGATAGAGAGATAGAAAGTGAGAAATCACCCCCCAGGGGGGATGACCACACCTCAATCCCTTCTCCTCCAGTTTCCTCTCGTGATCTTGGGCATGCACACACATGCACCCGGCATGAGTTTAAGCCACCAGGGCCGGGACTTGAACTTCGGTTCACTATGTAGGAGTCCAGCGACAGAACCATTACACCAACTGCTGGTCCCATCTGGCATGTTTTTTAAGTCTCTGGTCCAGGACTCCCAACAACAGAATCAATCCAGCCACCTGAACTATCATGGTACCTACTTGCCATCCTTGGCCTTTTTTATCCTCACCTGAAGTTAACAAATAAAATTTATTTTTCTCCTTGTCTGAAATAAATCCTTTTTTTTTTTTTTTGGAGAGGTTTTTGCTATAGGGCGTGTGTGCTCACCAGACAGACAGAGAGAGACAGAAAGCGAGAAATCACCCCCAGGGGGGATGGCCACACCGCAATCCCTTCTCCTCCATTCTCCTCTTGGGATCTCGGGCACGCACGCACGCACGCACACACGCCCGGCGTGAGTTTTAAGCCACCGGGTCCAGAACTTGACCGTGGTCGACTATGTGGGAGTCCAGCGACATAGCCACTACACTAACTGCTGGTCCCTGACATAAATCTTGAATATACAAACTGCAAAGAATTTGTATTGTCTTCTTTGCACTATTTTCCACAACCACACAAAGATATTCAGGTTTATCAATATTTTGTAGTGTAAACAAAACCAAGAATGTGAATTATTTTGTAATACAAAAAGAGTCACCAGTTATATCAATTCAGATACTGCTCATTTTTAATTTTCTAAATTTTAAGAAAACAAAAAAGGGTTCCCTTTCTCAATCAATGTTATGAACATGGCACAATGCCTAATACAGTGCCAATTCCTTCTTTGGGTTATCTCACTTGGTTCTCAAAATAATAACAGAAAAATAAGAATTGTTCAGTCTACTAACAGGCAGCAAAACTTGTTCTATTGCATAAAGTCAATTTTTTGAGTCAAGCCCAAATCTTTCAACACAGAGTCCAAGTTTTTGTGAACAGCTCACAGCTATTCAGTTCATTGACTGGCACAGCTCTCAAGAAGCTTCTGCCTTCATCACTGCCATAACTATACATGTATATATTTTTAAAACCCTTAAGGGACTCTAAATATAAATACCAATTCTTCCTTTCTTTTATCAAAAAGAATCTTTTAAATATTTAGTTACATGCTATTCTAGAGTATAACAAATTAAATATTTTCTTCTATGTTTTCTTCTAGAAACACTTGTAATTTTTAAATAATGAATAACCAATTTTATTTGGTATCTTTTACTTACCGAGACAATGTTGTCTTCCCAGAACCAGGCAGACCTCTTAAAAGAATAAGTAACTTCTGCAATTTATTTAACCTTTCATCTTGAAACTGCTGGTGCACAAACCTGTCCATTCCATTATGTTTGTCCACAGAAGGACCTTTCCAACATCCTTCTCTGATTTCACAGAAACCATTACTTGTATCTTGTACATTGTAGCCACTTCTAGAAGGATGAACAATGCTGCTGCTCTCATTATATTCTGTATATTCATTGTTCTGATCAAAAGTCGAACAATTCCAGTTAACATGACAATTATTTACATAGTATGTATTTCTCATCTGAGAGTCATCGTGTGCACAGAAAATATCTGAAGGTGGATTTGGTGGAGCACTGAATCTCTGAGTATTTAAGTGATAGTTAAAACTGGGAAGAGGAGGACCACTGGGTACCATAAAAGGTTGAACCGATTCCCACTCAGGCCTCAAGGATGTAAACGAAATGTCGCAAACTGTAGGTATGACTTGTCCATTACAGGGATATTTGCCTATCTCATTCCCCAAGTACTGCTCATAACCACAGTGTGACTGAAGGTCATTATTAGGATCTTTCTTTCCTTCATCAGATTTTAAGAGATCATTATTATGGTCCTGATAATATGAAGTAAGTTGTTCCTGAGAAGTTTCTGGTTCCTTACAACTGCCTTCCAAATCAAATTTTTCATTTTCAAGTTCTTCGATTTCTTTGTAAAATTGGGATAATTCATTGTCAATTTCTGATTTTTCAGAGTTAAATTTCTGTTTCTCTTCTGGCTTTTCTTTGCCATTTATATTGTTGAGAGTGTCTGCCTCACTCCTCTTTTCCTTAATTTTTTTTTTCTCAGGGGGTTTGTAAATGGGTCCTATAAAAGCTTTACTTGTGCTATATATCTCATCATCTGTGGATACTAATGGTCGACTTGTATCCTGTAACACTCGAGAATCAATAGATTTGATAAAATCTGGTCTATTACTATGTATCTCATCATGAAAAGGCCTCAGCAAATCTGTGGTTTTGGTTTTGTCCTTCTGAAGATGACTTTGTCCTCTAACATCAATGAAGGTCACAGGTACCCAATCATTTCCAGATTTTTCTTGGGTTCTATGAAAATCAGTACTACCATGATGGGGGAAAACATAAACCTCTGCAGCTGACTTCAATTTTTTATAGCATGGTTCACTTGTAAGTTCTTCTCCACGTCCCAGAAATTTAGCTTCAATTTCACCGTAAGACATCTGTAAATAAATTATGCAATCAGCAGCTAACACTTTAAATATATAAACAAAAATCTTCTCATAAACAGGAAACTTGAAAGACATTTAAATTTGTGACACAAGTACTCAATAAAATACTAGAATCAAATTGTAATTCTATAACCACTTAATTAAGTACTGATATACTGGACTTATGGAAAGGGTCTCCATGAGTTTAGCACTTATTTTTTAAAGTATCTAATCTTGGGACCAGCAGTTAGCATAATGGCTATGTCGCTGGACTCCCACCTAGTCAACCGCGGTTCGAGTCCCAGACCCGGTGGCTTAAACTCACACTGGACGTGTGTGCATGTGTGCCCAAGATCCCGAGAGGAGAATGGAGGAGAAGGAATTGCGGCGTGGCCATCCCTCCTGGGGGGTGATTTCTTGCTTTCTGTCTCTCTGTCTCTCTCTGTCTGGCTGGCAAATGCACACGCCCTATAGCAAAAACCTCTCCAAAATAAATAAATAAATAAATAAAGTATCTTATCTTCAATCTAAATGATCCAATCTTCAATTTAGAGTACTTAAGAATTTATGTAAGTTTGAAAAGCTGAATCAGTAACAAATATTTTAATAATAAAAATAGACAACTGTGCATTTAGAAGTGAAGTAACTTTTTTTTTGCTTTAGGGCCTAGGAGCTGGGGGGGGTGGAGGGGAGGCCATGATGATAGACAGTGAAGGCTAAAGTGAGAAATCACCCCCCATACACACAGGGAATGGCCACCCCACAACCCCGTTTCCTCCATTCTGCTCCTAGGATCTTAAGCACTCACACAAGCACCCAGCGTAATTTTCAAGCCACTGGTCTGGGACTTTAACTGCGGTGTGCCATGTGGGAGTCCAGTGACTAACCGCTGGGAAGTAAAACTTTTGACCAAACTGACACATCCAAATCTGCTGTGATATACTGCATCATAACATTTTCCTCTTTAAAACTGCTATGTCTTTTAAGAGTAAATGGCTCAGCTCCCAAACCTCAACATCTCTTAGCATCTAAATGTCAGATTAACCGAAATGCCAGACTTTGTAGCCCCCTTCATTGTGTACATGATGTAAACGCAGTCCGTAAGTGGGTGTAGGGAGATAATTTAAAAGAAAAAAATAACGTGAATTGCACTGATGATGATAATAAATATCTTTAGAAAAAAATCGGGTTACTCTCCCCAAATTAAAATGTTCATCTTTTTCCAAAGGGTTGGTCTATAACGAAGATAAACGTGTCCCTAAGAAATTTCTTAGGGACCCGGAAGAGTACAATCCGAAAGCCTATTTACTCAATCCGTCTTCATTCTGCCCGCTCTCTGGTGCTACTCATTAACACGAGAGAAAACGGAAAAAGCAAAAAGACGAGCTAGAGTATGATGCAGGTAGGTCACAGGCTGAAAGGAGATACAACCGTGAAGAACACCGGCTGTGTCCCGGAAACGGTCCCTCTTCTCAGCCACCTCACCTATTGGCTTCTCATTTCCTCATTCAAAAAAAAAAAAAAAAAAAAAACCAGAAGAGCAAGAGGCTTGCTTTACGGCCTATACAGAACCTGAGCCCCATGGCCTCCTGACCTCCAAATATAGCTGCCTAAGCAGAGCTGCGTCACCCACTTTCTTTGTTGCAATGGAGACATATTCAGGTCCCGTCTAGGAATTCTGGAGGTCTTGGAAACTCTAAAGTTCATTCCGGGCTTCAGCTACGTTGATAACTGCCCTGAGGGGTGCGGCCAAGCCGCCGAACCGGAGTCGCTAATGCAAGGAAGACACGGGAAAACGCCGCGACCACCCCACCCTGACCTAAAACGGGCTGTCTACTTACCTTACTCTACAGCTCTGCATTGACCTTTACCTCCCAGAAAACTTTCTTCTAGAAAGACATGGACTCCTGCGAAGGTGAAAGAAGCGCAGAGACACAATCCCAAAGCAGAGACGAGATGAGGTGAGACTTTGAAAGCCGAGTCCTACGGATCGCGGTAACCACCGCACTTCCGTACGCAAGATGGCGGCCACTTCCCGGTTACCGGGCAGAAATCACCGACTCGCGCCAGGCATTGTGGGAAGCGAAGTCCGGCGTGCCTACGGGCTGGGGAAACCTCACGGCGCTGCCTCCATCTCCCAGAAGCCATTGCATAAAATACGCGCTAAATTGGCAACGACAGTAAGCAGGAACTAGTTCCTAGATTGTAGTTGGGAAGTTATTTAGTAACGCCGTTTGGCTTAAATAAAGCAGCGACCTCATCTGGCCTCCCCTGAAGGAAAGAGGACGGGAGTGCCTGGAGCCCCGGAATAGACGCGTTAATCTGCTCTCAGTGCATGCTTCTGCTTTCTGGAAGACAAAGAATCAGCGACTTTGGTATAGCAGGGTTGGGTTGCGGTGGTTCCTGTGGAAGACCAGCAGGCCTGATTTTAGGCTCATGTTCTTCACTGCAACGCGGCGCCCCTGTAACAGATAAAACAGATTATTTCTGATAAACACGGATTTTAAAAACAACAAAAAACTTATAATAGAAAAATCATTTGTCAGCTTTGTTTTGTTTTTGGAAATAAGAACTATCACTAAGTTTTTCTTTTTAAAAAAGTTAATATGCAAAAAGGGCTTAAAACCAAGAGCCCCTATGAGTAAGTGGTATACGGGTCCAGTAGTTAGCGCATTGGCTATGTCGCTAGACTCCCATGTAGTCGGCCGTGGTTGGAGTCCCAGACACTGTGGCTAAACTCAACGCCAGGCTGTGCGTGCGTGTGTGCCCAAGACCCTGAGGGGAGAAAGGAGGAGAAGGGATTGCAGCGTGGCCATCCCCCCCTGGTGGGGGGTGACTTCTCGCTTTCCATCTCTCTGTCTCTGGCAAGCGCACGCCCCTATAGGAAAGACCTCCCCCCCCAAAAAAAAAAGTGGTATGCAAGTGTTTGATACATTAAAAATAAATATATGGGACCAGTAGGTGGCTGCTGGTTAAGGTCCTGGACACTCTCACATGGCAGACCACGGTTTGAGTCGCGGACCTGATGGCTTTTTTTTTTCTCTCTCTCTCTGTTCAAGTTAAAATAAATGAAAGAATAAATAAAATTAAATTATTATCTAAAATAAATAAATAGTAGACCACTGAGGTTTGAGTGCCAGACCAAGTGACTTAAAACCCAGCTATGCGCCCAAGACCCCCGGAAAGGAGAGTGGTGGAGAAGGGATATTGGCGGCGACTGTCTCACCCAGGGGGTGATTTCTCACTATCTCTCTGTCTCTGTGGGAGCTCATGTGCCCTGTAGCAAAAATCTCTGACATACATACATACCAAACAACTGGCAATCTTCTACTGAAAGTCTCCCTTCTCTTCCTACCATCTCCTGCCCCTGCTGGACCACCTACTCCTCTCCCCATCTTTTCCAGGTCCCTACAAGGGGAACTGCTAATTGCTTCATGTTTCGATCACTATTTCCGCAGATATGTAGTTTCCTCATTTCCAACACAACATTTTAATTTATAATAGCTAAAATCACAGTCTGACTTATGTGTGATTGCTTAACTACCTACCTGTGACACAGAGGGCTCATCAAAGCAATTTATTCCCTTAACAAAGAATCTTCCTCAAACACAAAGTTTCACTATGACCTTTGTCTGATTCCTAGTGATTAGAGTCTAGTTAAGCATTCTTCTTTGAAACAACCACAGAGGTAAAGTTGTGGTCTTTTGGGAGTTTTACTTTTGCAGGCACAAGAGGTCTGTCCTATGATATTAATCTATCACCCCATCAAAATGTTGTCTACTTTCTCCTCTGTTTATTTTCCTTCTACAAGTAATAAGCAATCTATGAGATGATTGTTTGAGACCAAGCCAATACTCTGCTCCTGATGAAACTTTACCTTATGGTTCAGATTTCATTGATGATTTTTTCTGTAACATATCTTTAGCATACAGTTACAAAATGATTTTTTTTCCTCCCAACTTCTCCAAGCTCTCCACAAGAGAGTATCTCAATCTAGATACTGCTACAAAAAGTCCTCTTTATTTATTTACTGTATAAATTTATTTCTTTTTAAGGAGTTATATAATCCATTGCTAATCTTATTTATGTGTTACTAGTAGGCTTTTTAAAACAATGTCTTACTCACATTTAATCATTGCATATCTCTGTAGTACACTACACAATATAACTTTTTTTTTTTTTGGAGAGGTTTTTTCCTATAGGGCGCGTGCGCTCGTCAGACAGACACAGACAGACAAAGAGACAGAAAATGAGAAATCACCCCCCAGGGGGGGGATGACCACACCGCAATCCCTTCTCCTCCATTCTCCTCTCGGGATCTTGGGCACGCACACGCGCCCGGCGTGAGTTTTAAGCCACTGGATCCAGGACGCGAACCACGGTCAACTACATGAGAGTCTAGCAACAAAGCCATTACACTAACTGCTGGTTCCCACCACAATATAACTTTTGAAAGTATGTATGCCAAAATTGACAATCAAATCAAAGATGTTACCATATACTCATTTTCAATGGTGAACTTTACATCATGTCTGTTAAGTGTATCTTCCCTGAGCCCCTCCCATCTATCCACTACTATCCATCCCATTCCCATACAGTCTCTGGTATCTACACTTGTCCTACCTGCTATTCTACATTCAGCTCTTTCCATTTCTGCCATAGTGTGCAGAACTCAGTATACATTGAGCAGGAATATATAGTATGTGTCTTTCATAGATTAGTAGACTGTTTTAGATGCATTGGAAAATTGAGTAGATGGTACAAAGTTCCCATGTACCCCCCAACACAACCCTCCCCCTCCACACACAATTTCTTCAATTACTAACCTCACATTATGGTACATTGTTATAATTAATGAATCAACACTAATACTTTAATAGTATTCAAATTTCCTTAGTTTTTACCTAATATCCTTTCTGTTCTAATATCCCATACAGGATACCACCTAATTAATACCCTTTTTTTTTTTTTTTTTTAGCTTCTTCTATGAGCAAGAGAGACAGAGAGAGAAAGACAAGAAAAGGCACCCCAACAGGGTCTTCACCTTGCTATCCAAGCCATCTTCTAGTGGCCTGGACCATGTGCACATGTGTGTTCAGTATGTTCTGTTCAGGGGTTCTCTATGTACAAACCTAGAACCTTCCCGTTTGGGTCAATCTCATGGAGTGTTACATTACCACTCCACCACCATCCTGCCTCCCCATGTTACATTTAGTTATCTTGTCTTTTTAGTTTCCTTTAACCATGACAAGTTTCATGGACTTTGCATGGTTCTGACAAATTTGACAATTTTGAAGAAAGCTCATCAGGTTGTCTTAAAGTATCCTCACCTACTGGGATTTGCCTAAAGTTTTTGTGACTAGACTGGAGTTATTGTTTTTTTGGGGGGTAAGAAAGTCCACAGAAGGAAAATATTATTTTTATAACATTGTATCAAGGATGCATATTACCAACATGATTAATGATTATTGATGTTAAATTTGACCACCTGATTGAAGTCGTGTTCGTCAAGTTTCTCCAATATAACAGTTATTCTTTTTCCCCCTTTCCATATTCTTCTGTTTGGAAGAAAGTCATTGTACACAGCTCATGTATCAGAAGTGGGGAGTTTTATGGCCTAAATGTCCCCCTAAATTTTCATACGTTGAAACTTAATCACCAATGTGATAATCCTAAAGGATTGTGACACAGCCAGATTCTATCTTAAAATAAAAGTGGGGAAAGCCAGGAGTGACAGCATCCGCCAATAAGCCCATACTTGGGAGGCTGGACAGGAGAACTGCAAGTTCCAAGGCAGCCTGGGCAACATAGCTGTAGGATACTCTTTTAAAAAAAAGTTGTTAGGAGGCAAATGATGCCCCTCAAAAACAGCATCTTTATTGTATTTGTATGGGTCAAATATGTCAAATGCTGGTCTTGGACTTGCCCTGTGTGAGTGTTTGATAGTAAGCAAATTGGTCATTTGTGGAACTGGCCATGTGGTGAATTGGCTTTTAGTAAATTGTTTTGCTTTCCATGACATGTAGTGACCATATTGCACTCTTGATGTTTTCAGGATACTCTGTACCAGGAAATATATACTTGAAAGTGTACACAGGACAAGGAAGAGAACATGACTGAATGAAGAAGGCCTGATGTGACCTAACAGGAGTATGAAGAACACTGGGGAAAACATATCTAATCTAAAGGAGACAGCTACAACTCAAGTGATTAAACTCTATAGCCAGATCTTACTTTTCAAGAGAAGGCAAATTCATATATGTATGTGAAGTTTCTCAACTTTTAAATATTGTCAGTGAATTAAAATTGTTTTAATATTCTATGTGTGTATGTGGGGTGTGGGGATGTTGCAAATAAAACCATTTGCAAGCTCTCTATGGCCTTTAAACCACTCATTTGCAAATGCTGGGGCTGATTCATATGTTTATACCTTTAGGAATGTTCTTCTTTTCTCCTTGAACACCCTTTAACTCTGTGTCCTTATCTTCCTCAGTGAACTCTTTTTGTTTTATTTTTTTATTCTTATGTAACTTTGTGCCCTCACACATAACAAATATTCTGAAAGTGTCCACATACACTCAAAAAAATTTAAATCAGGGCATAAGATTTCATTCTTATTACAGGTATCACTCAACATAGAGATTACAGCTTCTTCTAAACAAATTTCCTATACAATTAAATCTTACATATAATATCCTATTCCTACTAAAATTAGGACATATTCTTTCACAAAATAAAAAAAAATTGTCCAAAGGCATAATAAAATCATACGTAAATACAGCAAACATTTATAAGTCAGAAAGAAATACGGTAATTTTCTGGAAAATGCTGAATATTTAAAATAAAATAACTAAAACTGAAAATACCAGTAACTGTGGCAATGGGAGTATTGCCTTATCTGGTCCACCATCATCTTGCAGCTTCAGGCCCTGCCACTAATGAAGAATCACTCAGGGAATTTCTGTTTGGAGGTGGTTTTGGTTTCGGCATCTTACTAAGAATAGTTGCCATCTCTTTTCTTTCGTCAAAATTCTTCCACTGTTCATATAATTTTAAAATAACCCTGATTATTTCCAATATCTTCTCCATATCAACAGAAAGCTCAGCAAACCACTGGCATCTTTCTGCTATACAACACAGGCTACACGTAGGCAGGGTAAAGCTATCATGAAAGGAGGATACAGCAGGCAAAGATCCGTTCTGTAAGTATCATTCACTATCCTCCATGCAAAGGGAAGCAACATGTCTTCTTGGCCCATGTCCTGCACATACTGGAGCAAAGGTCTATAAGGATGATACACTATCAAGCAACAATCCATTAGTTCTAAAAGATAGAATTCACATTCTAATATATGATTCATCC